CAATAAACGTAATCCAGCATATAAAAGAACCAAAAGACAAAGAAACCACATGATTATCTCAATAGATATGCAAAAAGGTTTTGACAAATTCAACAGCCCTTCATGCTAAAAACTGGTCCAAATAAATTCGGGTATTGATGGAACGTATCCAAAATAATAAGACTATTTGACAACCCACAGCCAATGTCATACTGAATGGGCCAAAACACTGAAGCAGTCCCCTTGAAACTGGCACAAGACAGGGATGCCCTCTCTCACTCACTCCCTGTTCACATAGTTGTTTGGAAGTTCTGGCTAGGCAACAGGCAAGAGAAAGAAAAAGGGTATTCAATTAGGAAAGAAGAAGTCAAATTGTCCTCTTTGCAGATGCAATGATTGTATACTTTAGAAACCCCATCGTCTCCAAGCCCAAAAATCTCCTTAAGGCTGATAATCACACTTCAAAGCAAAGTCTCAGGAACAAAGCAATGTGCAAAAATCAACAAGCATTCTTATACACCGATACACAGGACCCGAACAAGAGAAAAATCATGAACGAGTTAATGGGTGCAGCACACCAACATGGCACATGTATACATATGTAACAAACCTGCACGTTGTGCACATGTACCCTAGAACTTAAAGTATAATAATCAAAAAAATAGTTTCTGTTTATTGAGCAGCTAAGATGTGCTAAGCGTGCTTATTATCTTATTTAACTTCCAGAGCAGAAGTTAACAACAAAAAGGTTCAAAAGAGGTTAAGTGACTTGCCCAGGGATACACTTGAGCTCTAAGCCACTGCACTACACCACCTTTCCAGGACCTAATCCAAGAACCTCTGTTCAACATTTCACGGAGCCATTAGCAGTGGTTGTGAGGTCGGGGGGGATCATGGAGGAACTTTCCCTTTCTATGTTACATATTTCTGTGTTTGAATTTATGGAGATTCAGGCTCCAAGGAGTAGAACCAAAGTACAAGGATAGCAAGACAGGGGCTTGGAAGGGTAGAAGGAAAAATTTTTGCCCAGATTAATAATAATGTGAACAAAGATAGCAGCAAATGTTTCTTTAGCACTTACTACATACTAAATATCGTGTATCATCTCATTTAATCTTCATAACAATGCTATTACCAGTTTCCTTTCCCAGGCGAGAGACTAACTCCAAGAAGTTTGGGAATTTGTCCAAAGTCGCACAGCTAGCGGCTGCTAGGGCCAGGGTTTGAGGGAAGGCAGCCTGGCTCCACAGTCTGTGCCCTAATGAGCTTACCCTGCCAGCCTCACCCCATCCCACTCCAGGCCTCACCTCTACATCCTCGTCAGCCCTCTGCCGGTTCTGCCGCACCTCCTCCAGCTGCTGCTGGGCCTGCTGCAGGGAGCGGCTCTGCTGTGCCATCTCCTGCTGCAGCTCTTCCTTCTCCTGCTGCGCCCGTTCGATGTAGCGCTCCTGCTCCTCCTTCAGCTGCATCAGCTGCTTCAGCTTCTCTTCCTCCTCTTCCAGCAGTCTGCCGGGCGAGTGTGTACTGTGTGGTCTCTAGTGCCAAGGCACCTTGCAGGTGCGCGGCAAGCAGGAAAATTGGGGTGGGTTCCAGGAGGGGTGGTGGGAGAACCTGAAGAAGTTCCTCAGGCCTACCTGGTCTGAGCGAGTCGCACAGATTCCTCATCTCGCCGAGCTTTCACCTCTAGTTGCAGGGCCTCCTGCAACCGCTGCTGCATCTCCTCCAGCTCCTTGATGCGCTGCCGCTGCCGGGCAGCCTCCTCCTCCTTCAGCTCCATCTCAGCCTGCATGGAGGCCCGGGCCTGTGGAGTGGGGAGGTGGTGGACCCAGAGCCAGGTCAAAAGGGGCACGTGGGGGCAGGGGAGGAGGGGGTGGGCATGTTGCCCTTCTTTCCCCAGGACTCTGCTAAGCTGCCTAGGGGTAACGGTCTGGGGAACGCCTTCATGTTGCGGTTTCCTGATCTGACCCCTTTCTTTTTTTTTTTTTTTTTTTTTTGAGACGGAGTCTTGCTCTGTCACCCAGGCTGCAGTGCAGTGGCCGGATCTCAGCTCACTGCAAGCTCCTCCTCTCGGGTTCACGCCATTCTCCTGCCTCAGCCTCCCGAGTAGCTGGGACTACAGGCACCCGCCACTTCGCCCGGCTAGTTTTTTGTATTTTTTAGTAGAGACGGGGTTTCACCGTATTAGCCAGGATGGTCTCGATCTCCTGACCTCATGATCCGCCCGTCTCGGCCTCCCAAAGTGCTGGGATTACAGGCTTGAGCCACCGCGCCCGGCCATCTGACCCCTTTCTGAGAGCCTGACTGGAACAGATAATGGTCGGTGAACAGATGCCACTTGGGGGAAACGGGCTAAAGGTATTCCCTTTCTAGTACCAACCTTAATCATAATTATATAATATGTAATTAAACAACATTATATAATTAAATAAGATATAAAAATATGGTCATCTCCTTCCTAGCACTAGCTTAATAATTATTATAATATATAACAATATGTTACAATCATGGCTGCTGCTAGGAAGGAGGTGACTATAACCCAATTATAACAACGAAAAGTTACTGGACACTACTACAAGTGTTTCCTCATTTAACCTTCACCGTACCTCTGTGAGCAAAGTTCTATTAGCATTAGCATTTTACAGATAAGGCTCAGTAAAATGAGCCTGCCTGGCATCACGGGGCTCGTAAGAAGCAGAGCTAGGATTGAATCTACATGTTTCTGACTCCAGATCCAGGTTTCTTAAATCCTAAATCTAATTGCCTCTGCACGCTTAGTCCGCCTCCATACACGTCCCGCTTGCCTCTCAAACTGGTTTCACTGTAAACTCAGTTCAAGTCTAGTCCAAACTTGGTCCAATCTAATCCCCAATCACACGATCTTCAACGGCTCCTTCTGCCCAAGCCCCAACCCACAGCCAAGGTCTCCGAACCAGGCCTCATCCATCCACCGGCTTGGACCTCGCCCCACACCCCTTCCTTAGCCTCAGGCCCTGCCCCCGGCGAAAGCCCCATCCCAAATCTCTTTCAAACCCGCGGACTCTGTCCCAACAATCTCTCTTTCCAAGTCCCACCCCAGTGCGCGCCCCTCAACCCAGGAGCTCCGCCCCCTGCCCAGGCCCCGCCCCTGGCGCTCCCCCGCTGGCCCGCCCCGCAGCCTCCCAGCCCACCGCTCCAGTCCCCCGCGCCAGGAGCGAACCCCACCTGCTCTGCCTCGCGCAGTTGGCCCTCGAGCGCCTGCTGCAGCTCGCGGTGCTGGCTGCGGCGCCGCTCCTCCTCCTCCTGCAGCAGCCGCTCCGCCTGCCGCTGCGCCTCCTGCAGCAGCTCCAGCTCCTGCAGCTTCCGCTCCTTCTCCTCCTGCAGTTGCTGCAGCCGCAGCAGCTCCTCCTCCTTGGCCGCCCGGCGCCGCTCCCGCTGCTCCCGCTGCTCGCGCCGTTTCTGCTTCAGGTCCTTATGTAGGGACTTCTTCCCCTCGGCCTGCAGCCGGATCGCCATCTGGATGGCTGCCGAGGAGCGGGAGCGGGTCAGTCGGATCCTCGCACACGGCCCGAGTCCACTCTCCAACCTCCCGCTGGACAAAGTATTATCACCCCCTTTTCACAGATGAGGCGCCTAAGGACCAGCCAGACCCAAGTCACCTAGCGAGCACTCACCAGCTGTCCACTCCTGGCGCTGGCGCGTGTCTGAGGCGCTCATCTCATACGTGCGGGTGGCTGTCTTCACACAGAACATGCAACGCTTTCCGTCGCGGTCTGGCAGCACCTGGGACAGGGTAGGTGGCAGCCAGGCTAGCCTCACTGGGTCAGGGCCACACCTGCCCCAAGGATGCTCCAGCTCAAGCCCCTAGCCCTCCTGGCTATCTTCCCTGGGGACCCCACTCTGCCAGGAGCCTGCATGACTTGCATCATAAGTTATGGGGGACTTATGTCCCCACAACTCTGTAGCCTTTGCTCTTTGAAGGCTAGGTGGGTGCGTTTTCATCTTATTATTATTTCACGGGGCCCAGTACATAGTCGCCACTCAGTGTTTATGCAGATCACGCTTGAACACTGCCAGTAACAGGGTCCTCACTATCCATGACAACGCACTTCGACATAGCCCTGCTTGTTAAGAGTTAATTCATTCATTCCGCAGATATTTTTGGAGTGCCTACTGAGTGCCACTCACTGCTCCAGGGGTTGGGATACTAAGGTGTGCCTAACAGACCAAATCTCTGCCTCCACTAAGCTTACATTCTGTGGAAAACAATAGCTACCACATTCTAGAGTCTGTACTAACGTTTTATATGCATCATTATCTTCACTCCACCTATACAGCCTAGCCAGGCAGGCATTATTAGCTCCACTTTACAGAGGAAGAAACTGAGGCACTAAGAGCTCCAGGATTGTCCACCTCACACTGTTAGTCTGTTAGTGATGAGGCTGGGACTTCTGCGTAGATCTGCATTCCTTTACACAGTAACACCTTATGTGACAAAATTAGATGGATCCTAGGATGGCTATGATAATTTTTTTAAATGAAAAACAACTATTGGTAAGGAAATGGAGAAATTGGGATCCTCACACACCATTAGGGATATCATCCAGCCTTAAAAAGGAATGAAATTCTGATATATTTGACAACATAGATGAAGCCTGAAAACATTTCTAAGTGAAAGAAACCAGATACAAAGGGACAAATATGGTATGATTCTATTTATGTAGGATACCTAGAAAAGGCAAATTCATGGAGACAGCAGAATAGAGGTTACTAGGAGCTGGGGTCAAGGAGTATGAGGAGTTATTGCTTGGTGGGTACAGAGTTTCTGTTTGGGGTGATGAAAAAGTTTTGGAAATAGATAGTGGTGATGGTTGTACAATATTGTGAGTGTAGATCATTCCCCATGATCAGATGGGATTCATCCCAGGAATGCAAGGATGGTTCAACATGCACAAATCAATATGCATGACACATCATAGTAACAGAACTGAGAGCAAAAACCATATGATCATTTCAATAGACCCTGAAAAAGCTTTCTAAAAAAATTCAACATTGTGTTATGATAAAAGCCCTAAAAAAATTGGGTATAGAAGGAACATACCTTGAAATAATAAAAGCTATCTATGACAAACTCACAGCTAACATTGTAATAAACGGAGAAAAATTGAAAGCCTTTCCTCTAAGATCTGGAACAAGACAAGGATGCCCACTTTTACCACTTTTATTCAATGTAATATTGGGAGTTCTGGCCAGAGCAATTACGCAAGACAAGGAAATGAATGGCATCCAAACTGGACATGAAGAAGTCACATTAGCCTTGTTTGCAGATGGCATGGTCTTATACTTAGAAAAATCTAAAGACTCCATGGGGTGTGGTGGCTTACACTTGTAATCCTAACACCTTGGGAAGCTGAAGTGGTTGAATTGCTTGAGGCCAGGAGTTCGAGATGAGCCTGGGCAATACAATGAGATCCTGTCTCTCTCTTAAAAAAAAAAAAAAAAAAAAAAAAAAAAAAAAAAAAAAAGGCCGGGCGCGGTGGCTTATACCTGTAATCCCAGCACTTTGGGAGGCCGAGGCGGGTGGATCATCTGAGGTCAGGAGTTTGAGATCAGCCTGGCCAACATGGTGAAACGTTGTCTCTACTAAAATTACCAAAAAAAAAAAAAAAAAAATTAGCCGAGTGTGGTGGCAGGTGCCTGTAATCCCAGCTAACTCGGGAGGCAGAGGCAGGAGAATCACTTGAACATGGGAGGTTGCAGTGAGCCGAGATCACGCCATTGCACTCCAACTCCAGCCTGGGCGATAAAAGTGAGACTCTGCCTCCTCAAAAAAAAAAAAAAAAAAGGACTCCAACAAAAAACTGTTAGAGTTGATGAATGAATTCAGTAAAGTTACAGGATAATTCAACATACAAAACTAGCTGGGCGAGGTGGCGGGCGCCTGTAGTCCCAGCTACTCGGGAGGCTGAGGCAGGAGAATGGCATAAACCCGGGAGGCGGAACTTGTAGTAAGCTGAGATCTAGCCACTGCACTCCAGCCTGGGTGACAGAGCGAGACTCCATCTCAAAAAAAAAACAAACAAACCCAGTAGCATTTGTATACACTAACAGCAAACAATCTGAAAAAGAAGTGAAGCACAATCTCATTTCCAATAGCTACAAAGAATGTAAAATACCTAAGAATCAATGTAACCAAAGTGAAAGATCTATACAAGAAAAACTATAAAACTGATGAAATAAATTGAAGAGGATGCAAAAAAATGGAAAGATATCCCATCCTCATGTACTGGAAGAATTAATATTGTTAAAATAACACTATTACCCAAAGCAATTTATAGATTTGGTGCAATCTCTATCAAAATAGCAAAGGTAATCTTCATAGATATAGAAAAAAAATCTTAAAATTTATATGGAACTACAAAAGGCCTCAAATAGCCAAAGTAATCATGAGTAAAAAGAACAAAGCTGGAGGCATCACACTTCCTGATTTCAAAATACACTACAAACTGGCCACAGTGGTGCACACCTGTAGCCCCAGCTATTCAGGAGGCTGAAGTAGGAGGATCCCATGAGCCCAAGGAGATTAGGCTGCAGTGACCTATGGTCATACCACTGCACTCCGGCCTGGACACCAGAGCAAGACTCTGTCTCTAAAATAAAACAAAATACCAAAATGTAATACAAAGCTATAGTAACCAAATCAGCATAGTACTGGCATTAAAAGAGACACAAAGACCAATGGAACAGAATAGATCACCTAGATATAAATCCATGCATTTACAGGGAACTCATTTTTGACAAAGGCGCCAAGAACACACAATGGGGAAAGAACATTCCTTTCAATAAATGGTTCTGGGAAAACTAAACAACCATATGCAGATGAATGAAACTAGACCCCTATCTCTCACTATATAAAAAAAATCCAGTAAAAATGTATTAAATATTTAAACGTAAGACCTGAAACTATGAAACTACTAGAAGAAAACATTGGAGAACTATTCCAGGACATTGGTCTGAGCCAAGATTTTTTGTGGAAGACCTCAAAAGCACAGGCACCCAAATCAAAAATAGAAAAATGGGATTACATCAAGCTAAAAAGCTTCAGGACAGCCATGGAAACAATCAACAAAGTGAACAGACAACCCATGGAATAGGAGAAAATATTTGCAAACTATCAATCTGACAAGGGATTAATAACTAGAATATATAAGGAGCTCAAACAACTCTATAGCAAAAACCAAATAATCCAATTTAAAAATGGGCAAAAGATCTGAATAGATATTTCTCAAAAGAAGACACACAAACGGCCAACAGAGATATGAAAAAATGCTCAGTGTCACTAATTATCAGAGAAAAGCAAATCAAAACTAAATGAGATATCATTTCACCCCCAGTTAAAATGGCTTTTTATAAAAAAAAAATAGAGAACATCTTTTTTTTTTTTTGGAGATGGAGTTTCACTCTTGTCGCCCAGGCTGAAGTGCAATGGTGCAATCTCGACTCACTGCCACCTCCACCTCCCAGGTTCAAGTGATTCTCCTGCCTCAGCCTCCTGATGAGCTGGGATTACAGGTGCCCACCACCACGCCCAGCTGATTTTTGTATTTTTAGTAGAGACAGGGTTTCACCATGTTGGCCAGGCTGGTCTCAAACTCCTGACCTCAGGTGATCCACCTGCCTTAGCCTCCCAAAGTGCTGGGATTACAGGCATGAGCCACTGTGCCTGGTCAAGAATATCTTTTCTGTAAAAAGATGCTGGAGAAGATGTGGAGAAAAGGGAACCCCGATACACTGTTAGTGGGAATGTAAATTAGTACAGCCACTATGGAAAACTGTATTGAAGGTTCCTCAAAAAACTAAAAATAGAACTATCATATGATCTAGAAGTTCCACTGCTGGGTATATATCTAAAAGAAAGTAAATCAATATATTGAAGAATATCTGCCTTCCCATGTTTACTGCAGAGCTATTCATAATGGCCAAAATACGAAATCAATCTAAGTGTCCATAAATGGATAAATAGATTAAGAAAATGTGATATATATAAAGGAATATTATTCAGCCATAAAAAGAATGAAATCCTGTCATTTGCAGCAACACAGATGGCACCATAGGTCATTTTGTTAAGTGAAATAAGCCAAGCACAGAAAAACAACTATTGCAGGTTCTCATTTATATGTGGGAGCTAAAAAAGTGGATCACCATGAAGACAGAGAGTATATTAGTGCTTACCAGAGGCCAGGAAGTGTCGGGGGAGGATAAAGAGAGGTTGATGAATGGGTATAAACATACAGTTTGATAGGAGAAATAAGACCTAGATTTCGATAGATCAGTAGGGTGGCTATAGTTTACAATAATCTATTGTATATTTCAAAATAGAAGAGAATAATGTGAATGTTTCTAGCATAAAGAAATATTTAGGCCGGGCGCGGTGGCTCAAGCCTGTAATCCCAGCACTTTGGGAGGCCGAGACGGGTGGATCACGAGGTCAGGAGATCGAGACCATCCTGGCTAACATGGTGAAACCCCGTCTCTACTAAAAAATAACAAAAAACTAGCCGGGCGAAGTGGCGGGTGCCTGTAGTCCCAGCTACTCGGGAGGCTGAGGCAGGAGAATGGCGTGAACCCGGGAGGCGGAGCTTGCAGTGAGCTGAGATCCGGCCACTGCACTCCAGCCTGGGCGACAGAGCAAGACTCCGTCTTAAAAAAAAAAAAAAGAAATATTTAAGGTAAAGGATACCCAATGACATGATTTGATCTTTACAAAATATGTGAATGTATTAAATTATCACATGTACCCTGAAAATATGTATATCTGTTGTATATCAAAATAATTTTTTAATTTCATGAATGTATTTAATGCCACTGAATTGTATACTTAAAATAGTTAAAATGGCAAGTTTCATGTCACACACACACACACATATATATATATTATTTAAAATAGTAAAGAGGCTTGTGTTTTAAGCCTCTAAAATAGTAATGAACACAAGGGAGGAAACAGAAGGGGAAGACAGAGCAGAGGGGTGTGGAGGGAGAATAGGGAAGTACAGAGTTGCTAAAGAGAATGGAATATGGGTGAAGAAGAAAAACCTTTAAAAGGGATTTTTTTAGAAAGATTTGCTGTGTAGTATAGATATAAGCCACTTCCTCTGAAATATTGAGCAAATTCCATATTATTCACCAATTACTTTGGTGTTTGAGTTGCAGTTTTAGTTTTAAGTGCTGACATGGATGAGAATGGCCTTGAGGCATCCAGATATATTTGGGTCACACTAATCTAAGCAGAATTTGTGTCACCGTGGCTTTTCTCCATTTGCCCCTCTCCTGACCCCCTTGTCTTCTCATGCCCCTGAGGACGCTCTGGGCCCTGAGATGTCCTCCACCCCCATCCTGCCCCTCACCTCCACGCAGCAGTGTGCATCCAGCGGGATAATGCCTCTTTTCTCTTTGCACTCTTCACTCCCAAAGTAGCAGAGGCAGCTGGGCTGCAGCTGGAACCAGCGTTCGGTCCAGTTCCTTCTCAGGTGCCCTCGCTTCCACAGGTAGCCCTGCCAGCCAGAGTTATGTCAGAGGCTTCCCAGGCCCCCCTTTGCCCTGCACCTTGTGCGCCTCCCCTAGTTTCCAGTTTGGCTGACCTGCTTCAGGACATCTTGGATGAGCTCCTGGTAGACCTCGTGGATGGCCATGCTGAGGGTGTCCCGGCCCACGCCCCGCAGGCAGCGGCCTGAGTTGAAGAGCTCCAGGAACTGCCAGACGCTGAGGCCCCCGGTGGTCTGGGCCACCTGGGCCTCCTGGGCCAGAAGCTCCTCCAGTTCACCCAAGCTCACCTCCAAGCTCATGCTGCTGAGTACCTTTTTCAGCAGGTATTCCACCTGGAGCAGGAGAAGGAAGGCCTGGTAGTTGCAGCAAGCGGTGTTGCCAGCACCAACACCAGGGAGTGCTCTATCTGGCTCCCAGAGCCTGGGCAGAGGGAAACAGGGGACAGACCGTTGAGGGGGCCAGAGGACCAAATGCTATAGAGACCAGGGAAAAGACCTGGGAGAGGATCCTGGAGCCCCAACCCCAACTCCGAATTTCTCTCCCCCTCCACAACCTCCTGTCCCACTCCTTCCTATCTTAAGGGCAAGGTGAAGGGGACCTGAGATCTGGGGTCCAGGAAGAGGCAATAAACCACAGAAAGTGTCAAGGGAGTGCAAAGGCCCTCTCATCCAATCACTCATTTTGCAGATGACAAAACCAAAGCCTAAACAGGGAAGTGACTGGCTCTAAGTCACACAGCAAACTGGGGGCAGCCAGAACCTGATTCTGATCTCCTGAATCCCATTCAGGTCCTTATTGCAAGCCCCAATCTCCAACCCTGGGGATCCTTCCCTTGTGGGAGGGGAAGGGGATTTGGGGTAGGGGTAGGTGGTGGGGAGTGGGGAGTAGAGGTAAGCTGGGCAGGGACAGGAAACCTGTTACAGAGGAACCGGAAGTGGTGGCTGGGGTACATCCTGCTGCAGTTGTTAACTCTGTATGTTGATCACAGAAGCAAGCAACCACCTGGCCTCCGAGAGGCCACCTTGCCCTGACTGGCAGGGGTCTAACAAGGGCAGCCAGCCAAGTGTCCGTGCAGATGGACACACGTCCCTCACCTGCCCCAGCAACTTTTTGGGACACTCTGTTTAGGACTTTCTGGGGGCTCCTGGGTCTTGTTTGGGCATTTAGTAGAGGGCACTGGTTCAGGGCTCAGATGGTTCCCTTCATCACCCTTCCCACAAACAGAAGCCAGAACAAATGTGAGTGGAGCTTGACATGCTAGGGCTTCTTGTAAGTACAGAGGTTCCTTCTCCTGTAAACCCCACTCTAGAGACCTAAAGTCACCCTGGCATCTCCACAGCCACCAAAAGGACTAAAGGGTCACAAGGCCAAATGGGCAGGGGAGGGAAATGAGGATAAGAGGGAGCGTGCAGGTGGATGGGAAAATGCCTTCCCTGGCTTCACCCAGGAGTGAGGAGGTAGGGACCAGATTCCTGGCCTTTTCTCCCAGGATGCCCTCTCCTCCCAGGATGTCCTCTCCCTGGGTCTTTTAGCTGAATCTGTCCTAGCTTTCCAGAAGAAAGGCAGAAAGGGAAAATCTGGAACCAGAGTAACCTCCTGTCTCAGAAAGGTCTCCCTTTGCCTTGTAAAGCATCCTTCCTGTCCTGGAAGAAGTGGCAAAAGGTAAAGCGGGGAAAAAAAGCACCCTTCCTAGATTGCCAGTAATGCTCAGTAATGTATCTGGCATTTAGACCTCTGTGTAAACAGAATGTGCAGATCATTTTCCTACAGTGAGGACCAGCAGAACCCTCATGAAAGTGTAATTTCAGTTTTCCTGGAAGAAGGCACAATTACTCTGACACAGGCAGTTCTAGGCATCTGGAGACAGCTGGGTGAGGACAGATACCAGCATGGGAAGACAGTGAAGAAAGAAAGGGATGTGGGAGGTACCAAAGGTGGTTTGGTCTCATTCATGGTTTTGCTTAGGTCTGGTCCCAAGTGATTCAGTCCCTGGGGCTGCCATCACCCTCACCTCATCAGGAACCATGATCAGAGGGTACTTGTCCTCAGACAGGAAGTTGAAGAGGCACCAGAGGCGGAAGGCATCCTGATTGGAGAGCATACTGTTCCCGTTGCTATCTGCCCGATAGTTCTTCTTGGCCGTCAGGGTCCAGCACAGCTCATCAAAGTGCTCTTTAACAAAAGCCCCCTCCTCCACCTGCCACCAGGGCTGCAAATCAGCTGGCTGCATATCCCTGCTCTACCACGACACTAGGCTCCAGCTGGGTTTCTGGGGTTCATCTATGCCCCTGCTCCCCACCTGGCCAAGTCCAGGGCCCTAACTCAAGGGATCCCTGAGCTGATTACCAGGTAACTAGCTGGTTACAACCACTCCACCCCCCACAACACACCCACACCCCCCAGGCCCCCTGACAACAGAGTAACTCTAGTCTTTCAGCCCAGAGGAGAAAGGAAGAGAAACCCAGCAGGAAGCTAAGAGCCAAGAACCTGGAAAGACAGTGACAGATTGGAGGAGTTGGGGGGGGGTCAGGGGGACAGTCTGGGAAGGGTGGAGAACCCTTTATAAAGGTTATAGCTGGAAGCAGGAGGAGGGCCGGGCAGGTGTTCAGTGAACCCTTTGTAGAGGTTATAGCTGGAAGCTGGAGGAGGGCCAGGCAGGTGTTCGGTGGAAGGCTATGGGCAGGGTGCGGCCCACCTCATTAGAGATGAGGGACACCGAAGGTGAGTTGAGGGGGACAGGAAGGAGGCAGGTGGCTGGGATGTGAGGGATGTGATGGGACAGCAGGCATGGACAGAGCAGGCAGAAGTAGGAGTTTATGGCAGGGGCAAAGAGTTGGAGTGGCAAGGTATTGGGCTGCTGGCCAGGCTGGAGAAGTGGGGAGAGGTTACAGATGCCCCCTACAAGCTGGGCCCCACCTTGTCCAGGATGTACTTGTTGAGGTAGGGCATGTATCCCTGGCTGGACACAGGGCCGTCGTCATCATCTCGGAAGTGTTCCTCCAGGGCCACGGGGTCATGGGGGATGTGCAGGACCGTGTACAGGTTGTGGGACAGCACCTGAGATAGAGTAGTGGCAGTGTGTCTTTCTGTACCCCAACCAAAACTAGGCCAGAGGACTGCTCCTCACCTCTCTGCTTGTCCCCACCCCATCCTGGCTGAGTTCTCTACACACATGGTTCAGTTCAGTAATAACTAAAACTTAAATACTATGTGCCAAGCACTGGGCTAAAGCACTTTACGTATCATCTGCTTAACCACCATAAAAACTACTCACATCCCCATTTTACAGATGAAAACTCCTGCAGCCCTGAGATATTTCTCACCCAAGGTCACAACTGGCATAACTGGAATTCAAACCCATGCAGTTATACTCTTAGCCACTTCATTAGGTATTGGTGTCCTCTTTCTACAGACAGGGAGACTGAGGCTCAAGGGATTCAGTACCTTGCCAAAAGACCCACAGTGAACACCTTGGAGTTCAAATCCAGCTCTGTCAGATTCCAAAGCCCAAGTGCTTCCCACAATGCTGGACAGTTTGCAGGGTTTGCAGGGACTTGGTCTGCTACCCCAGGGCAGAAGCTGCCAATTTATCATGGTTTCCATCAAAGACTCAGTGTTCTGGCTGCAGTGTGCCTATCACCTAAGTGTGTCTGCTCTGGGAGAGGAGAGGGCTCAAAGAAGGGTCATGAAAAATGGCCCATGACGTGGAGAGGGCAAGGCTTAGAAGGGATAGTGGTCATAATGGTGTGCAGGGGAAATTTGGGTTTGTTGAACAAATCCATGATATTAGAATAAAGGGGTTGAAATCTGAAATCTGGTGAAAATAAAATCGCCTTGGGGGTAATTCTATTATACCTATTGTCACAGGCAGTGTGAATGATTAAAAAGTCACTAGTCACTATTGCACACTCACCATATGCCAGTCACTGTAGGAGGTGGTTTTTTTTATTAAAATTTTTATTTTGTTTTATTATTATTATTATTTTTTGAGATGGAGTCTCACTCTGTCACCCAGGCTGGAGTGCAATGGCATGATCTCGGCTCACTACAACCGCCACCTCTTGGGTTCAAGCGATCCCCTTGCCTCAGCCTCCTGAATAGCTGGGATTACAGGCACCCACCACCACACTCAGCTAATTTTTGCATTTTTAATAGAGACAGGATTTCACCATGTTGGCCAGGCTGGCCTCGAACTCCTGAACTCAGGCGATCCGCCCACCTCAGCCTCCCAAAGTGCTGGGATTACAGGCCTGAGCCACCATGCCCGGCCAAAACTTTTTTTTTTTTTTTTGGTAGAGACAGAGGTCTGGGTGTGTTGCCCAGGCTGGCCTTGAACTGCTGGCCTCAAGTGATCCTCATACCTGGACCTTCCAAAGTGCTGGGATTACAGGCATGAGCCACTACACCCAGTCAAAGCACTTTTTATACCCCATTTCTAGTCTTCACAATCACCTATATACACAAATACCATTAAGCCTGTTTTTCAGGTGAAGATACAGAGGTTTGGAAATTTTAAGAGTAAATGGCAGAGCTGAGGTTGAAACTAAATGTGCCTGGTTCACAGGTTGCCTTCCTACTAGAATATTGATGTCAAGTCTCCCTCCTCTATTGGATTGTGAACTCTGGAGACAAGGTCTCTGCTTATCTTTATGTCCCTCAGCATCTATGTCCTCTTCTGTACATCAAGTGCAACCAATACATGCTGTATTGAAGGACTTCTTCCACCACCAGCAGTTCACCTTGGAATCAGTTCCTTGGAGGCAGGAGCTGGCACTGTCTCCGAGATGGTGTGTATGCCAAGCCTTCATTTTATTCTCTTTTCAGAGAGGAGGGGGAGAAAGTATTGAGACTTTGCCTCAGTGTTCTCCTGGGGCTCAGTTCTCCTTGGCAAACTGGGAAGTGGGAGATCCCAGGAAGGGAGCATTTCCTTTTTTTCCCTCATTTCCCTCTGGGCAGCTATCCCTGGAGTTTTTGGTTATGTGAACCAATAAATCCCCTCTCCCTTAAGCCATGTGAGTTTTTATCACTAATTCCAGGAAAGTCGTCTTAACACATCTGTGGTCACAGGATACCAATCCCTACTCTAAGGGGTGCCACTGGCTCAATGCCTAGTACTTAAAACCCAGGGTGACCACCTCAAGAGAATAATGCCAACATACACTGACCACTTCTGAAGTGACAAGTGTTCAAGTTTTATATATTCTCATCTGCTGTTTCTTGGCCTCTTTTCAAACTACCCATGTCCTTATCTTTTTTTTTTTTTTTTTTTTTTTTTGAGATGGAGTCTCAATCTGCCGCCCAGGTGCAGTGGCGCGGTCTTTTGAGATGGAATTTCTCACTGCACGCCCAGTGCAGTGGCGTGGTCTTGGCTCACTGCAATCTCCAGCTCCCAGGTTCATGTGATTCTCCTGCCCCAGCCTCCTGAGTAGCTGGGATTATGGATGCGTGCCACCATGCTCGGCTAATTTTTGTATTTTTAGTAGAGATGGGATTTCGCTATGTTGGCCAGGCTGGTCTCAAACTCCCGACCTCAGGAGATCTGCCCGCCTCAGTCTCCCAGAGTGCTGGGATTACAGGGCGTGAGTCACTGTGCCCAGCCACCCCAGAATTTCTAATCATCCAACCCACAGACACCCATGGGAGATATACGTTACAAGAATGCTCATTAAGCATTGTTTATAATATGAAAAATTGGAGACAAACTGAGGCTCCTTCAGTAAGAAACAGATATACTATGTCAGGAACCACTGTGTGTAGTTGGAAAGATTTCACTTTTCCCACTTGTGTGCTCGTGGGCAAATGTTTAATTCTCCAACACCTTAGTCTCCTCTTCTGTGAGGATAATGATAGGGTCTGCTCCAAAGGCTGTTTTGAGTGAAGAGTACCTGGTGCATAGTGCCCTGCTTAATAAAAGTTGTGGGTGATCTTTATTATGTTTGTATGAACAGACATTGAAAGATACGCATACTACACTGGCATGTAAAAAAAGCAAGCTACAGAATGTTTGTCAAATACACATGCAAAGATTAGGTCGAATTATATAAAACTAGTATTTTAGTAGGTCAAAACAATCAAGTGTCAGAAATTTCATATGGTTCAACCTGTTTATTTGTATACAGAAAGAATCTAGAAGATTAGCTTACTGTTAACAGTGATCACCCCTCCAGAGTGAGGGGAGGAATTTTCATCTTTTTTTTTTTTAAGACGGAGTTTCGCTCTTGTTGCCCAGGCTGGAGTGCAATGGCATGATCTCGGCTCACCCCAACCTCTACCTCTTGGGTTCAGGTGATTCTCCAGCCTCAGCCTCTTGAGGAGCTGAGATTACAGGCACCCACCACCATGCCTGGCTAATTTTTGTATTTTTAGTAGAGACGGGGTTTCGCCATGTTGGTCAGGCTGGTCTCAAACTCCTAACCTCAGGTGTTCCGCCCGCCTTGGCCTACCAAAGTGCTAGGGTTACAGGCATGAGCCACTGTGCCCAGCCAACATTATATTCTTCTTTACTTCAAAAATTTTTGGGGCCAGGTGTGGTGGCTCAAGTCTGTAATCCTAGCACTTTGGGAGGCCGAGGCAGGTGGCTTACCTGAGGTCACCCACCTGGCCAACATGTTGAAACCCCGTCTCCACAAAAAATGCAAAAAATTAGCCGGGCACTGTGGCAGGTGCCTGTAATCCCAGCTATTTGGGAGGCTGAGGCAGGAGAATCCCTTGAACCTGGGAGGTGGAGGTTGCAGTGAGCCGAGATCATGCCATTACACCCCAGCCTGGGCAACAAGAATGACTTCCATCTCAAAATTAAAAAAAAAAAAAAGGCCGGGCGCGGTGGCTCAAGCCTGTAATCCAGCACTTTGGGAGGGCGAGACGGACGGATCACAAGAGGTCAGGAGATCAGATCCATCCTGGCTAACACGGTAAACCCGTCTCTACTAAAAAATACAAAACTAGCCGGGTGAGGTGGCGGGCGCCTGTAGTCCCAGCTACTCGCGAGGCTGAGGCAGGGAATGGCGTAAACCCGCGAGCGGAGCTTGCAGTGAGCTGAGATCCGCCACTGCACTCCGCGCCTGGGTGACGGAGTGACCTCCGTCTCAAAAAAAAAAAAAAAAAAAAAAAAAAAATCTGGCCAGGCGGTGGCCCCCACCTGTAATCCCAGCACTTTGGGAGGCCCAGGTGGGCGGATCACTTGAGGTCAGGAGTTCGAGACCAGCCTGGCCAGCATGGCGAAACCCCGTCTTTACTAAAAATACAAAAATTAGCCGGGTGTGATGGCAGGCAGCTGTAATCCCAGTTACAGGGAGACTGAGGCAGAAGAATTGCTTGAACCTGGGAGGTGGAGGTTGCGGTGAGCCAGGAAGGATAGTGCCACTGCACTCCAGCCTGGGCGGCAGAGTGAGACTCTGTCTCACACACACACACACACCCCCACAAAAAAAATTTACCACTAACATGTTTTAATTTTACAATAAATTTACTTTTATTTTTGTTTATTTATTTAGAGATGGGGTCTTGCTCTGTTGTCTAAGCTGGGGTGCAGTGTCATGATTTCTGCTCACTGCAGCTTCCGCCTCCCAGGCTCAAGCGATCCCCCAACTTCAACCTCCCGAGAAACTGGGACTACAGGCGTGCGTCACCATGCTCAGCTAAGTTAAAAAAATTTTTTTTGTAATACCAAAATTAGCTGGGTGTGGTGGCACACTCCTGTAGTCCCAGCTACTCAGGAGGTTGAGGTGGGAGGATTGCTTGAGCCCAGGAAATCATGGCTGCAGTGAGCCAAGATCGTGCCACTGTGCTCCAGCCTGAGTGACAAATCCACACTCTCTCTGGGGAAAAACAAAAAATTTTTTTCTTTTTTTTTGTAGGGATGAGTTCCCATTATATTGCCCAGGCCATGGTGGCTCATACCTGTAATCCCAACACTTTAGGAGGCTGAGGCAGGAGAAGCCCTCCTGGGTTCAAGCGATCCTCCTGCTTCGGCTTCCTAAAGTATTGGGATTACAGGTATGAGCCACCACAGCCCAGCCCTGAATTTCTTCTTTAACATTGTATTCTTCTGTGTGTTT